CCTAGATGATCCTACTAGAAACAGCTCTGGATCATCAGACTGATACATTAAGGAGAAGTGAGCCTCTTGCAGAGTCCCTTATGCCAGTCAGACCTATCACCATTAGAGCGAGAACATAAGTAAGAGTTCCTCATCAGCTGAATCTCTGATGTGAATAGAAAATATGTTGCAATTTAAGGAAATTGCAAGGAGAGAGGATGTTCAGGAATGTGAATGAACTCAATGTAATTTAACATGATCATTATAATGTAGATTTTTTGTGGTAACAGTTATGAGTTGTCTTTTATATACGCTCTGTTACAAAAAAATATCTGCACCAAAAAGAATACGAATCACTATCACAAAACTTAACATGTACACAGTATATGAGGAGATAAACAAATGATTACAAATTCAGAACAAAAGATCATTTTATTAAGAAATTGTAGCATGAAAAACGTTATCAGTAAGTAGTATGGCCACATCTGGCAGCTATACAAGCCAAAAGACGGAGAAGCATCGAATCAAGTACGTCACCTATGGCCTCTGCAAAAAGATCATGCCATAATTTTTGCAACTGGGCAGTTAATTCATCAATATTCTGGGAAGGCTGCAGTTGCCTTTTAAACATGTACCAAACGTGCTCTATTGGCAAGAGGTATGGTTGCCTCAGAAGCCACAAGAGTGTGTCATATCCTTTAAGACATTGTTGGGAGAGTCACACAGTATGTAGATGAGCACGCTCTTGCTGATAAATGGCACTTGGACAGCTCGATAACATAGGCAGTACAACCTGTGTTAAAATGTTGTGCATGTAACTGCAAGCCATCAATAGTGCCTTGAAGGACAGCTAGAGGTTATTATGTGTCCCAAAGAATCACCTCCCCCCACACTGCATGTTCACCATATGCTGTTGACAGCTAATGCCGAATCGGATCGCTGGCTTGGCCACCTCCACATGCATATGCGTTGGTCATCAGCAATGAGACTGAATTGGGATTCATCGATGAAGATCACTCGCCACTATTCACTCACACTCCAGGTTACCCCGAGTTTGGCAAAAATCCAATCGACACCGCCTAAGATGTGGATCAGTGGTCATCGGCTTAATGGACATCAGCAGCATATACCAGCATCGGCTAGTTGTCACATCTCTGAGCCATTTGTCCCTTGATAACACTGGATGCTTGGGGGGTGGTAAATGGCATCGAATCAACGCTAGCAATGTTGTTGGTGCAGAAGTGGCCGCTCTTATAATTGTGCAATCCTTGAGCTCATTTGTGTTCCTGGGACGTCCTGACCCTCCGCAGAGGTAGACTATCCCTTCCGTAATCCATTGTTGTCAATACTGAGCAACTACCATATTGCTCTGACCGACGTGGCAGCTGATATGCTTGTTTGACCAACCTGCTTCTCTGAGGCCTACTCCCTTTCTCCGAATCTGACAACTGTTCATACTGCTACCAGGTACATCTGAGGGGCATCTCTAGTCACAATACCATCCATCCAAGTCGAGATTCACTTGAATAGCCCTATGGCATGAGCAGCTGCTTTTAAACTCTCCCAGCTGTGCATCTCATCTAGTCTCATTGGCGCCGAAATTTAAATCGTTTGCATACCTCTCACCAGGACGGTTATTCTACGTTACGAGAGTCGACAGCAAGTTGTGGGCCGCCAGATGTCGCTAATAGTGAAAAACAGGTCTGCCCGACATCCTATATTCTCTGAGTACGGAAGTTGTCGAAAGCGCATGAAAAAGTGTTGCCGTGTCATCAATCAGGGTTCTGCAGTTGACGTACTAAGTAGACCAACAGCTTTGTATGTATTTTCGCCACTGTTTTTTTCATATTTAAATGAAGAATACGGTTGTAGATCTCTGAATCGGTGGCGAATTTATAGAAAATATGTTGATGCATTTGTTCTGCCAGAAGATGTTTTCATTAAGAATTTCAGATTGCCAAAATTTATAGTTATTTTAATTTGCGATGAATTGAGAGAGTATTTGGAACCACATTCAGAAAACAAGAACGTAATTTCTACTGAAAGAAAGCTTATTTATACTGTTCCTGAAATTATAGATATAAATTGTAATTATATGCTTTAAAAATGTAGAAGATAATAAATTTATCAAGCACACAAACCTTCTTCATTTAATACAAATATAACAAATATAGACATCTGATAAGTTTCTATTCGATTTATGTACAGCAAGAATTACATTTACTTTAAAATCTAACAGTTGAATCTTACGAACAACACTGTGAACACAAAAAGGAATGCCGTTGATTATTACGCGCAATTCACACTACTGTAAAATAAAAATTTAAAAAAAAAATTATAAAAATATAAAATAGCTTTATAATATTTTTTCAGTAGCAGTACTACTACTAGCATGATACTTTTAAAAATAAGTTTTAGCTCAGAAGGGCTATTAATTTTGTTTCGGCATTTGTGGTGTTTCACAATAAATGTTTCAAATTGTTGCCACCAAATATTATCCCCCTGTATTATATTTAAAGAAGTTAAATAATGAGGAATCTGCATAAATGTATGAATGTTTCTTGCACTGTGATAAAACAACGGTACCTAGAGCCATGAAATTTTGAATAACGTAATCCTCCATCCTAATATAGGCATCTGGAGGCCCAAATTTGGAACTGAAAATTTGTTTTATTATCTATTTCATATTTTGTAAAGCATTTATGAGTGTTTGATTAAGAAATTCAACAATTTCAAAGTGAGCAATGGGGCAACATTGTACAGATTAAAAAAAAGAGGAAAAATACATTTTCATCTCTAGTGCGCAAGACTATGTATCGGAAATTTTAAAGATATGCTCTTTTTAAATTATATGATATTGCTGTTGAATTGAATTTTATGGTTTAAGTGCGAAGAACATGATATTTATTAAATAAAGGTAACATGTAAAACTTTAAAAAAGCATCTCTTTGGGAGTAACATAAAATCTAAAGGCTTTCAGATTTTTTCTTTTTGTGTGTGTGTATAATTTTATTATGATTTAAAACTGGTTTCTAAAGGAAACTGGCTCGTATAAACGTTGCACATGGGGAAATTCACGAAAACGTCGATGCGGCCAGCTCGTTCGTGGGATTCGAGCCTCTGACCAAACTACCTGCGTTCAGCGACTCTACCAGCGGCTGAGCTTATTAGCAGAATTATACTGCGTTATTATTGTATGCTATAAAGTAACAATGCTGAAAGCTGAGAGTTTGTTCATGGAATAGTACTTTTGTAATCTATTATTATTAAAAAAATCATTGTTTCTTTGCAAACTTAAAAAAAAAAAAAAAAAAAAAAAAAAAAATTGCAATTAATTAGGATAGATTAGTATAATTTCGGTATATATTTTATAATGAAAAAATATTTTCTTTTTTTTAAGTTATAATGTTAATTATAGAATAAATTATTTAAAGTAAAAATTTTGATGCATGTGTGATAGCTGAATGCAGCAGCAATCAGCCATACTGTAATAGCGAATGTATTTTATTTCTTTTTCCTGAAAGAAATAATTTTTATATAGAAAAGAAATAAGAAAAGGAAGAAAAATTAAGAAAGAAATATTTTCTTTTGTAATTTCTTACTTAAGGAAATATTTTCTATTAACTGTATAACTGTAAATTGCGTTGAAATAGTTTTAATGTAAGCATGGGGGGAAAAAAAAAAAAAAAAAAAAAAAAAAACTTATTTTTAAAAAAACTATTTTGCTATTAGATTGTAATGCAAATTAACCATATTATAAATTTAAATGATTAAAATTGTTTATTTCTAAGAAGATTTAAGTAAGCTTAATTCATTTATTCTTATTTATTTACCGTTGCTTTCATGGTATCCCACATCACTCTTAGCCCTAAATTCCAGCGTTAACTTTCCCCTTAAAAAACGGGATTTTCCTTCACATAACACAGCAGCATATCCTGCTGTGTGTTGGTCATAATACTGTTGTGTGTCATTTTTTTTTTCTGAACTACAAATGCAGTGTGTGAGTTAGTGAAGCAATGAGAGAATATTCCTAGAACTTCAGCCAGCGTGCGCTATAAGTTTCGTCACTGGTCTGTGCTGCGATTGGTCTAAAGCTTCTTGAAGCTTTCTCCCCTTTCAGTAAAGTCAAATGGACCCACCCACCCACCAACTGAGGACCACAGAATGGCTTTCTCCGATAAGTTGTGATGGCTGTCCATACCGGTTTTTTTGAGTCAATATTGTTCGCTCAAGTTGTAGACAGATCCAGTGATCATAGAATAGGCGTCCAGACTACATTCCTGATAAGTTTCATGATTATGGCTGGATTTTTTTCTGGGTGCATTTTTTTTTTTTGATAGTGTATATAATTTTTCTCATGTAACATACTTGATGACATTCAGTTGATATGTATAGAAGCAAAATAAAATTGCTATAGTTAATTAAGATGGTTTTCGCTGCAAAGTTTGCTTCCATTTGTCCACAGTTATTAAAATAAACTAAGAACCTAAGTGATATTAAACACTCTCTGCATTTGCAGTAAACTTTCATAGGAGAAAGCAAAAGCTTTAGTCCTGCAACTCAAATAACCAATCATAGTAATTCATATTAATATAATTTTTTTAACATCCTACAGATATACATTAATTTTGCAGCACTACTGGGAACTCTACAATCACTATCACTTGTTCAACTCTGCACTCCAAATGATGAGAAAATCTTTGTGACAGGTTACCCTGAAAAAAATCGCAATCTGAACATTTCAAATAACAGCCTAACACCTCAAAGAATAGTTTCTAACAAATGAAAAATAAAATGCAAATAAATTTCAGCAGCAGGTACATAAAATATAGCATAAACATCTTTTGGGATGATAAATGTGATTAGATTAGTTCTGTTTGTTTGTTGGTGCATGATGCTATGTATAGATTTATTAGTGATTTTGCACATTAACTGTGGGGAAAAAAAAACACCATTTCAAACTGCTAAAAATTCAATAATGATTTCTTTTTTGCATAGATGGAAGATAAAAAATGTATTACCTTTGATATGTCTAGGAAAAACTGCAGATGATATGGCAATATGTCCTTTCATTACTCTAGTGAAACATTCCTAAAAAATTAGCAAATATTACAAAGTATTAAAAAAAGAACATTGTGCTAGCATACACAAAATTATAATCGGAAAATTAAAAAATTAATCACAATTATTCTGAGTAATTACACTCTTGATTTACATAACCAAATTTCATATTCCCTATTCTATGAACTTTGATCTATATCACATTACCGTACCTTTTCATATTGGGAAGGTGTACCAAAAAAATACGTTCTTGCAACATCAGTTGTTCCATCTCTATAAAAAGGAATTAATTCAACTATAATCTGAAGCAGGAAAAGCATAGGCATTCAATGAAAGGAAAAAGACTCACACACGCATACAAAAAAAAAAAAAAAAAAAAAAAAAAAAAGCATGGTTTAAAAATTGCATCAAAATGCACATAATATACATACAATGCCATATAAAATATCACACTTATGAAGGAAAAAAAGCAGAAGTAATATGTAAATATGACCACATAGCGGCAATTAAATTAATCAACTACAGCATGGAATCAAAAATATAAACCAAAAAATTTTTATATATACATATTCTAGCATGGAATGTGATATCTGCAAATATCTGCATGATTTATATTCTATGAATTGTTACAAGAACAATGATTAATGACTAATACTTACTAGTTTCAGAGAAGACATTTTTTTGACAATGAATACGCAATAGCTTATCATATAATGATCATTCAAGATAATAATTCAGCAGTAACACTTTAGCCTGTTTAATGAAATCCTATATCAAAAATGTTGATGCTTCTGAATGATCATTTAATCATAATTATGGTAGCAAGTTTATTGCAGATTTTAGGGAAGTTTCTTAACATTCACGAGATCAAATTTTTCCAGTATATGCAAAAGAATACACGAACTCAAGATATTTCCAACTATTTTAAAATTTTTCTTATAATTGTTATTCTTCATATGTAAACACTTTTATATCTGTCTTCATTAATTTATATAAAAATAAATAATAAACACACAATATAATAATACACTGCTGGCCATTAAAATTGCAGTGGAAGGACTGTCAGGTTTCCACCCCAATTAAAGGATTATGTCTCCTAATCCTTTTTACTGGGAAGGGAGTGTGTAGTGTCTTCTATGTTTCCTCTTCATCTTATGTTTAATCTTTGTACTTTTTTTAAGTTTTGTAAAATAACATCACAAAAAGACTGTTCTAAAGATAAACATTCATTGGAATTTCATTTTAAAAAGGTTGCTTGATATTTGTTCCAATCCTGTTTTCTCGTTAATAAAATTCATTAAAGAAGTTTGTTCTTTATGGTGCATTAATAATACTTCAGCTTTTATGCAACGCACTTTTAACGTCATATTATACGGATGGACTTCTAATAACAACATAACAGGTAAAGATATTGCGGAACATTAAAATTGCAACACCGGGAAGGATCTGACCAACGTCAAAATCACATAAAAGGAATAAGTTGGGATATGCAAATTATTAGTATTTTAGCACATTTAGACGACACAAGAAGAAACGACATCTGCGGCACTGCATAAGAGAAAAGTTTTGTAGTGAGTTTCTCATTCAGATAGTGCTTTGTAAGGTAGGAGTATGCTCAGAATATCGTGTTATGCCTTGAATAAGAAGAGGAAGTTACCAGCAAGTTTCGAAATTCGATAGAGGTAGGATCGTTGCCTAACAAAAGTGTAGACTATCATTCCATGATATCACCAGTCGCACTGGTCGACATCCAAACACTTTCATATGACTATCGATGGATTGCTGAGGGTCATACTGAATTGGTCAGTGACACTTAGCCGATAACCACTCAGCCAACGAGACACTTAACTGACTCCAGTTAGCCGACAAGACATTTAGTCGACACGGACACTTAGCCGACATGGACAGTTAGCCGTCAGGACGTTTAGCTTCCCTGTCAAAACTTTTAGTCAACAGGACATTAAGCCGACAGTGACGTTTAGCTGGCACGTATCCAATAATTACTTAAACTTACTATGAATTACAAAATTTCTCGACTTATCCATAAGTTCAATATTTAAGTTATTTTTTCACCTATCAGTAAAATTCATTTTTTGATTCTTAAGGATCTCATATGTGCTTTAATCATTGGGATAATTTAGCATTGCTTAATATGTATCGTGCTGTTTGGTGTGTATTGGAGAAATTGAAAAAGTGCTGATATTTCTCACCAGGGAATATGAATTAAATTTTGAAAGGAAAAAAATAATTTTTTTAGCTAAGTACAGTGGTCACTTAATTACATTTAGGATCTTCAAAAATTATCCATGAAGCATCTTCATTTAATCAACTGGATTCCATTGAACCCTTTCACATCATTAATAATTTTTCTTGTTTACTTAATGGGGTATTAATTTTCCAATCTCACTTTTACAAATACTTTCAAATTTCTAATACCGTTATGTTTGATTACTATTTTACTCAATACATCATGCTACATTCTTTCCCTTACAAAATCATTTCGCTCCTCCCACTAATGAAATTTCCTTTACTTGTTATGAAAAATCTGAATAATGCAATAAAAATTATTGTTATTCTTAAATTATAAATTTTATGAAAACATATGGTCGTGAAGGGTTAGTTTCGAAATGCATATTATTTTGTTATTAGAAACAATTAAAAAAAGTGAACTTTTAAGACAAGCAAAGGTATAAATTATTGGCCTCTATAATGGGCTGTTCATGCCACCATACTTGAGATAAAAATTCTGTAACATTTTATTGACCACGTGTCTCGCTGAAAAAACTTACTTAGATTAATGTTTATAGCACTAAACTGGTGCATTATGTTTAATTTAGAAGTAAAATATTCTTTAAGGTTTTATTTCATTCATAACTGAATACATGTCTGCAAAAACTACGTTTTTCATTCTTCATATATCGAAAACGTTGCTGATATAAAATTCCAGATGTGGGAAAATCTCCGAAGAGAAATTGGAAGAATTTGCAGAAGCAGGGGCACCAAGCAGGGTGGAGCAAAGCGAGAATCTTGAAAAGGCATCGTAATCTGGTGCCATCTATCGATGCTAGATTTAACTAGATCAGTCATGTAACTAGATAATATTATGTTCTCTGTTTTGAAAGTCGCAATGTGCAATTTTCAATATAATATGTTATATTGTTTCATGTTTTTCTTATAAAATGTAACTTTCTCAATATCTGTTAAAAATGTATAAATTTTCACTTCACTTTTCATCAATTAATTTTTTTTTTTTTTTTTTCTCTTTCATTCCTTCTCTTTCTTGTTTTTGTTTTAGCTACATGCTAATAGGGAAATTTTTAATGCCCATTTTCCTGGATGCATATATAAAGTTCTAGCCTAAAAAGGCAATTTTCATTGTAAGAGACTGGTTATATATTAAGTAAAAAGGTCACTCTATTTCTGTTAGGCCCAGTAGCGGCCGAGGGGTTAAGTCACTAAACACTGGCAGTTCAGTCCGAATTTCGAATCCCATGAACAGACAGGCTGCATGGGTGTTTTCGTGGTTTTCCACATGTGTAACTTGTATACGAGCCAGTTTTTCTCAGAAAGTTCTCCACGAAGGTATCCCTCCCCTTAGGCAGATAGCCGTCTTGCTTTGCCGTAATTACATTAACCAAACCTATTATTGTTAGGTGGCCGCAGGCCATGAGGTACGAAATCCCATGCCGGAGCCCTATCCCAGATTAATAAATATGTGATGCCTAACATGTAAACAGCATTTGAGATAAAAAAAAAAAAAAAAAAAAAAAAAAAAAAAAGTAGTTCCAGTGTGGCAAGGAGTAGGGCAAATCACTCTACTTCCTGACAGGGAAGGAAATTTCTTTAGTGGGAGGAGTGAAACGACTTTATATGGGAATAAATGTAGTGTGATGTGTTTGTTGGGCAAAGTAGTAATGAAATGTATGTATGTGAGCATGTATGTAAGCAAAGTATTAGAATTCTAAAAGCATTGGGAAGAGCGAGACTCAATGTCGGCTAACTGTCAGCGTTGGCTAAGTGTCCTGTCGGCTAGGTGTCCGTGTCAGCTAAATGTCCTGTCGGCTAACTGTCCTTGTCGGCTAAGTGTCCGCAACCGATACTATACAGCATGCAGGATCTCAACGCCCATGACTGACATCAGAGAGGACAGACATATTGTGAGATCAAAGTCCTGCAAAAATGCACAAACACATCACAGACCATTACTCAGGAAATGGGCATGTTTGCAGCACGCCCAGTAGCAGCTCATAAGGTGCACTGACGTTTGCAGCAGCTTGGACTATCAGCAGGGTAACCATTACTTCAGTTTCTCTTGACAATGCAGCATAGAGAGAGATGGCAACTCTGGTGCACCAAACGATAAAGCTGGATACAGGAGTGGCACAATGTTGCTTTTTCAAACGAGTCCCAGTTCTACGTGCAGTATTCCAATGGGCGCATACGTTTCTGGAGTGTCTGAGGAGACCGCACGTCTTCTGCTTGCATTCGATATCGGTATACGGGCTCTGAACCTGGTGTGATGATTTGGACAGCGATTGGGTACACAACATACACATCTCTAGTTCGGATGGTAATTTGAATGCAGATAGGTACATTTCTGACATGTTACGTCAAGTGGTTGTGCCCTGTCTTCGAGGCTCCCAAACGGCATGTTCCAACAAGATAATGCAATACCACATGTTGCGCTATGACCTCCCTCGATATACAGGATATTATATTACTGCCCTGACCTGTACGGTCTCCAGATCTGTCACCCACTGAAAACACCTGGTCATGGGTTGTGAGAGACTGGCCTGCCAACCCTCTCCAGCTAGTATGGTTGATGAAGTGTGTCATAGACATGAAGCTGCATGGAAAGAGTTGCCCATTTCTGTCATCCAAGGCTAATTTGACTGCATGCCTAATGGGGTAAAGGCCATTTTAGCTGCCAGGCTGGCAGCTGTTTTTACTAATTTTGCACCCCTGTAAACCTCCAAAATGCTTACAAATTTAATGATTTTTGTCTTTATGCCATACTGTTTATGTGCAATAAATATCTTTTTTGTATTTGCTTCCTTCATGCTGTTGCAATTTTAATGGCCAGCAGTGTAATTATAAAGAAATCCTACTTCAAAATCCAAGCTAGGAATTTTGAACTAACCCTCAAGATTTCATATTGATTTACAAGCAAACCTTTGCTGCTCCAGGATATGATGTCATTTTCCTGAGCAACATAAAGTTCTTCAGTTACAGCCACGACATAAAAGGCCCGCTCCCCCTCCTAAATTTACAAAAGTGTAACACCGGCAACAAATGCTACTATTAAAGAAGAAAATTTAGGCACGCATTTAGACAATGCACCCTGTCAACACAAGCTCTTATGAAGCCTTTATTTTCACAACTGCTGGCTGTAGACATACATAGCCAAATACAAAAATGTCTTAAATGGTGTAAATAATCTCTTTTTTTTTTTTTTTTAATTTAAGAAAAATCAATTTGGTAAAAATTATGACGTTTATTTATTTAAAATCCTCCAAAGCCTATACTTAAATTTAGTTAAGAGTTTGTATTCATTATAAGAAAAAAACAGAAGTTTGACTACCATGGGAGAAATACTAAGATACCTAATTTCAAAATTTCGGATTTTTAACACCCGCTTCAGCTTCCCTAGACTGCTTAGTTAAAGAATAATTTAGATTAACTTGAACTTATTTCCCCCATTTATGTTATTCACTGATAGTCTTACGATCAGTGAGGGTGTAACATTCTTTAATTAATAATTGTTTCATAAAGTATGCCATAGGATATGACTGCTCTAAATCACAAGCAAAATCTGCTCTGAGCAGAACCAATCATCATGGTTAATACCATCATCAGAGAACAAATAAAAAGAGTATCCACTACAACCTCTCTCAGTACTTTCACTGAATAAAGTGTTATCATACGAATTGGTATAGGAGCAATGAACCTGGATATGGGGCCATTCAATAAATAACTTACACAAATGCATGTAAGCACTCATATATAAATGATACATTTAACTTGAATGAAAAATTTTCTTAGGAGTCTTATGCATTCTTTGGCATCATGTGAATTGCTCAATTATTGGAATTATTTAAGTTGTACAATATACTGCATAACCTTTGTATTATGCAATAGTTTCTATATAAAATAACACTGATTTTAACTTTCATTATGATTACCATATTATTTATCACTCATTGCTTTTCAAAATTTAAATTAGGCTCTCCTGAATTTACCAAATAAATAATGCTTTCTGTAAAAAAAAAAAAAAAAAAAAAAAAAAAAAATCTCAGAATCAAATATGTAAGTTAGGTGATTTTTTTTAACAAATTAATGAAGTGCAATCAAATTAGTGCAGTGTACTTTATTTATGAGAAAGCAAAATATACTAACATATACTGCCCACCAGAATCACAAAGATAAAATTCTTCTGTTGAAATAACTCTTGTTGTTTCTTCAGATGGATGATAATGAATTAAAGCTGCATTTGGCCCTGATGCAGAAATAATTTCAAAACTTGGCCCAACATAATCTTCTTGTTGCCTGCATATAACAGAGATATTAGTTTAATGAATCAGAATAAAATGAGAAAATTAACATACATCACGAATACAAAAATATTTAATTTTTCTATTACTGTCTTTCAGAAAATTAATGAAAAAAGCCATTTTAACAATTCTGAAATAAACATAAGTATCTACTTTGTAATAATATATCAGCCTTCTCAAAAATGAAACCTCATCTTGATTCCATGGCTGGCAGCAAAATCTGAATTCTACAACAGATATTAAAACATACTTTACAGTTAAATTTTAAAATTCTTGAATTGTCATACACTGCATTTTTAATAGGGTAACCCCCCCAAAAAAACTCACTAAAAAGGTACTGTTTCTTTCTGCATAAATTATTTTTATAGAATAGGTACTGTATACTTAGTTATTTTCCCTTTCTATTTAAATATGGAATATATTACAGGAAGTTATGGATAAACTAAGGAAAATTTTTTAAATCTAATGCCAGAGCAATATTAATAGTGTCTTATTTTCATCTGCTGGATTACACCTTATAATCAATAAATTACTCATTTAAGGAAAGCAATTAAGTACAAATACACAGGACACTTCTGTTTATAAAGGCACTGAACAGAAATAAACTGCTGATAGCAATCAACTGCAAAAAATACTAAATTCTGAAAACAATAACATGCTTTGGAATATTAATATTACATGTATAAACAAGAACTTAAAAAATATTAATGCTATTTAATATGGCCAGACTTTTCAGAACAGTAACATATTGAAATTTAGTAAGCTTTTAAAAAAGTTCCAAATCAAAACTGGCTGATTCTTTCTGTTTGCGATCAAAATTCTGCATACTTAGACATTACCTAATAAGAAACAGCTATTTCAGTATTTTTGATAGCAGTATCTCTAGACTTTCAGAGGTTTGCTTATCATGATTGAGGAAATTTGCTTTTCATTTTCTGTTCAGCTACTTTTGCATTATTTTGGTACGTCATCAGATCCTATCTTTCCACATCTTTAAATTTCCAACTTCTATTTTAGAATATTTATGAGCATTAAAATGCCCTTTCGTACCCCCAAAAGAATCAAAACTTCTAATATGCACATACTGCAAGAAGTAACCTTATAATTTAAATACATGCATAGTTAACTAATTTTTATAAATTATTAGTTAAGTTATTATGGCAGTGATTCTCATGCTTTTTTTTTTTTTTTTTTGGTCGTGCCACACATTTAATGATTTCAAACTTTGGCAGGACACAATGAAAAATATAAGTTCAAAAGTGGTTTACTTACCTATAATTTCATACCCCTGTGTAAAATAGTTTATGATAATAATTTTGAATGTAAAATAAAATAATACGTACTACAAAAACAGCAGTATGTTTATTAAAGGATTAATTGCAAGTTAATAATAAGAATACAGTCAAAAGTCATTAATTCGGGCACCCATAATCCGGAATGATCTATAATCTGGACCTCATAGCTGCAAACTTTCTGTGCATGCGTCGCGTTGACATTACGCATAGCAGCAAGACCTTTATGGCTGCGCATATGCGTCTGCACATAACAAGTTTACGCATGCGCGTTTAATGTATAACGGACGGTATAAGCTAAAATTATCTAATTATGTACTTCAGTTAATGTTGCAGATTGCATTGTTCCTTAATCTTCGAATTGGATACGGCTTATTATTATTTGCAGACTGTTAGGAGCAATTTTATAAAAGTAAGCTTGAACTTTCGATTATGTCAAATAGAATTTCCGATGCTGGAGCTCCCAAAGGATCTACAAAGTGAAAGTATGTTTCAATGTCTATCAAACAAATGCAAACAAAAAGTGGAATTGCTGCAAAAAATGGATACAGGCATACATATCCTTTGTTTCTCTAACCATTCCGAAATCTGTTTATCAGTTTCATGCTGCTCGGTGGGGGTGATGATGCCGCGGCACCCAATGAATTGGAAGTTGATCTGTCAGCACTATCCTTACCTTCAGGGCAGATGTTTTTATTTTATTTGGCTTATAATTCCTTACTAAATGTAGTATTTCATCTCTATGTACTCCGTCTTTGATATGATTTAAATCAAATTCCTCGTCATTATAATTCACTTCCGATAGTGAAGAAAGTGACACAGAGGTTATTGAAAACGAAAAAATTTCGATTGACAAATTAGTCGGTATTCTCGACACAGCAATTATAGGACTTGAACAGCGGTACTTTGTAACTGAACAAGAAATTATGTCTGTTTATAGAATTAAAGAGAAAGTATTCTCACATATAACGAAGCAACTTAAACAACTTACATTGAAAGAAATGTTTAATAAAGTAAACAAATAAATATTAAGCTTTTTTTTTTTTTTTTTTGTAAATTTTAACATAATTGAACATAATTGTTAGAATAATATTTAGAATATAATTGTTCTTTATTTCATAAATTATGGTTTCATATTTTTAATTTTATAATTTCTGCATGCCATCTTACCAGATTTAAACCGATGACCTATAATCCGGAAAAATCGATAATCCTGAAGCGCCAAAGTCCCGACGAGTCCGGATTAATGACTTTTGACTGTACTTTTAATGAGAAATTTTAGATTTTGATGTTTTTTGATAACTTTCTTTATATTTGGTCATAAAAGTGACAATGCTACTCTCATATCGTCTTCTACATTTAACAGTCTCGATCTTTTTCTCATTTTTATGTTGGTTAATACTGAAAATCCAAATTCACACAAATAATATTTACAAAACTGTAATAATATTTTTAAAGCTTTTTTGCCCATCATGGTATAATCTCATCTAATGTCAATCCAATATGAATTAATTGATTCTTCCGAATATTTTAAAATTAAATCTCGATTATTAGAAAGTGAAATTAGTTCTTCCTCTTCATTCAAAGTTAATTCAAATACAAAAGTATTCCGCACCAAAATTGGCAAGCTTATTAATGTCTTACAAACTGAATTTCACCAATTCACATGAGTACCATATAAACCCATTATAATTTTTCCTGTATCTATTTCTAAAATTTGGCGGCACACAAAAGTGCCACGGTACAGTGGTTGAGAATCACTGTATTATGCTGTATGGGTACCCCATACTTTAACAAAGCGGAATGCGCTTCCTCGAGTTTCAGAATCTGATTATTGCTAAAAAGAAATGAAGCTCCATTTTTAAAATGGCTCATTTGGAGATGAGACATTGATACAATACAATAATATTCAGGGGATAAAGATAATGGGATAAGCCAAAAGAACCTCTTCAGTAACATCAAGAGGTGGCCTGTATTCTGAAGAATGTATAATTTACTAAATGCAAATATTAACTGATCAAATACTGGGTTAAATGCAAATATTAAATGGCCAAATACTGGTTTAATCTTCATAAAAGGTTCTTCAAATTCAAAGACTAAAACAATCCAGATCAAATAAAATCTATTAACAAAAATAATCTGCACAATCTAAAGTTTCATTAATTTAATAAATTTCATTTATTGCTGAGAAAATTTTATGTGACAGTTTTTCTTGGTAAAAGCTGAAACTATAAAACCAAGAGATTCATTTGTCTACTGGGAGATGTGATGAAAAATCTGAAGAGTTGGCAGCTATGAATACATCATATTAGAATGCAATAATTTTAGATATGTGTTTGCTCAGCAAACAGATTTACTATCACCTAATTTAAGCTAATTTAATTTAGCCAATTAGCACCTAAACTAATTTTAATCAATTCATTTTTATGTCTTCACCTTATGTCAGGTTATGTTATGATCTAACAATGCTTCTGAATCGATGGATATTTTGGATACACAGTCTACTGACACTGTCTGCCTTCCCTCAAATGCTGAAATATAATTTATGGGTTGCCCTGTATTTGCAAACTGTAGACTGATTACTATTGTTGTGGCTTATGTGCATGATGAACTATGTAATACTACTAGAATGTTTATAAAATAAACAAAATAGAAGGAGGAAGGGGGGAATCCTGCAGCATAAAAGTACAACACACATATATTTGCATGCAAAATGATAAATATTACAAAAGTAATTTCTCAAATGACCTTCTGAAGTCTTCTATTTTAAGAGCTGCGGAATATTCAGTAACATCACCAGAGGACACTTCATCTTCAAGCCAGGCAAAAAATTCACAAATAGCAACAGCATCTTTGACCTTAAAATTTAATAATCAATTAATATTCAAAACATTTTTAATGAAACAGAAAAATTCTAAAATATACAAAAAAACATTTTTTAAAAAATTTTTATTTATTACAGAAGCCTTTTTTGGGGGAGGGAGAATTACTTACTGTATGTTCTTTCTATAGTTACATTACTACATTAATAAATATAATACTATTATTCAATAATCCTGAACAATAAAACTTAAGCATTTAAAGAACCAGAGAAATATATTTTATTTACAGCCACAAAACATGTTTTACCTAATGCAGCTACTAGTGTTGTAGTATGTTAAGAAATGTACCTATAAGCTTTATTTCCTTAAATACTGATTTTGAACATAAAATTGAAATTACACTTTCTGAATATAAGCTACACAATAGAGATAAGCAATGTCTGAACACTTGAAGGCAGAAGAGTATGTTATTGTTCCTGCTGCACAATATCTTAGTAATTTCTAGGAATATATCATGAAATGATAGATGGTTCTTTGGTGTTGTGTCCTTTCAGAAGTCAAAAGGATCCATGCGTAGAAATCACTACTTTTGCCAGTTCCACAATCTTTTCACTATTGAGCTCTCCCTGGAAAGGAAATCCCCACCCCAAGCTTTGAAACGATAGATGATAGTCATATTAAGACTTTAGTGCTATTGATTTCAAACAGATAACACTGTGATGTGCTTGCTTAACAAATAATACTAAGATCAAATATAAAACAATACGTCCAAGAAATTCAAAATAACATTGTAAATATATTTTACAATGAAATATTTACTTTCTTTAATATTAAGGTTCAAAACAAAACACAAGATTATGAAAACACCTCTGGGAACTCATGAGGAGGAAAAATTCATCAAAATCAGTTTTTATTAATATTTTTGGTATGTCCAACTAATATCTGAGGTGCAATTACGATGGTTAACAGTACAAAATTATACATGCATTCAGAAATTTGTAGTCAGTAACAGCTTTATTATTCTTAACTGTTTAGCTGCAAAAGCCTGCAGCTACAAAACATAAATGTTTTGTAACAACAACACTCAACAAAATAGTTATCCGTTATTTTAATTCGAAGTCTTCCCAGACATTTTGGCTAGTTTATATAGATTTCCTTCTCTTTCAGCATGTTTTCTAACAATTAGAGATTTGTCTCAATATACAAATCAATGCTCTTGCTAGTCTATGGATGTGTTATCTCCTAACTTGTCAACCTCCCCACAATGTACCTATAAGGGTTTACTTGATCTGGCAAGTTAAATATTCCCAAACCCCAGACAGACGTAAAGCATATTACTGCTATGTCTAAAAGTAACTACAATAACAGACAAAGGTTTAAATAAGCCTCTTATTTAAAAAGTATTTAGAACATTCATTGATACTAACAAAATCAATTACAGCTCACGATGACATAATTAAACAAGAACAGTCAAATTCAAACTAATAATGTGGACTAGTGGTCAAAGATTATACAATTTAATTTAATCTGGCTCAGTAACTCTATCATATGAGGAAATAGAAATGGGAAATTATAGTAAAGGCTGAAATCATAAACAATTGGGTAATATACATAATAATAACTAGACATATCTTTTGAAGAATAATTTTTTTTATGTATTCAGTTTCTTTCTTCAACACATTTCCTTTTCATTTTAGAATTTAATTAAGGATTTCTGTTATTCTAAAAAACACTAAATGCATTAAGAATGTACAGAAAAAGCAGCTAACTTTATTTCTTTAGTAATAAGAAATATATAAAGGGCAGTTACAGAGCTGGTGTGGCAGAATTTTTAGAATTCAGTGACACACCAAACAACAAAATCTAGAAATAGCAAAACTTTTAGAATTAAGAGTAGGCATTGGAAGCAGAATTTAGGATCCACAGAGATTGCATAAGGTGGGGTAATGCCTACTGCCAGCTCTGTATATGATGCATTAAGACATATTGGACGAATCTTTTAAATTGTAAGTTTTCCATTTCTTTATTAATAAAAAAATCCCTTTCTATAATGCCTGCCCATGTGATAAGATTAGAAGCATTTTTGATATCTTTCATGTATGTGTCTAGTGAAAAGTAGAGAAAATAGAGGGAAGATAAACACGTTAAGAAAAAGATTCTAGTATTAGAAGAAAAAATTTCTCAAGTAGCACAGCAGCGTCGTTATAGCAATATGTCATCTTTACCAAATGTCCGATCCATCTCGAAGACGACCAGATCTACTGTTTTGCAACCATTGCAAATACGTCTTTATTACGTCTTCGCAGATGAGGTTTTTGTTGCATCGGCATCGTTATTGCATCTTTCGCAGGTATTATTTTGGTTGTGAAAGCATCTTATCACGACGTCTTATAGACGCCTAAATGTTCGCCAAATTCCACGTTTTTGCAACAATTGTGAAAATGTCGTTATTATGTCCTTGTGTTACATACTGATTTATGCAGAACAATATGCTTAATAATTAATATATTTTTCTTCTTTTTTGAAATTTTGTATTCCTTTTATTTTTCTAAAGTTTAAATATTTTATCATTTCCTGAAACCCAGGAGATAATACAACTTCTTCTCTTTAGACTAAATATGCATAATTCATAACAACCTTAATTATTTTCAGTACTTTAAACTATATTTTTTAAATAACTTAAATTCTAAGTTGCGATTATTTAAGATTTCTTTTTTTCCTAAAGTGAGAGTAATTATGAAAGCGGTTATTATAAATATATAGCATTAATAGTAGGTTTTAAGTAAATAAAATTCAATTAGACATAAATAAAAGTAAAGCTATATATGTGGGTAAATAATACAATACAATTTATAATACAAGATAATACAATTTCTTCTCTTTAGAATAAATATGCATAATTAATAATAGACTTAATTATTTTCAGTACTTTAAACTATATTTTTTAAATAACTTAAATTCCAAGTCATGATTATTTAAGATTTCATCATTTTTTCCCTTAATTCTTTAGAATGTAAGTGAGAAAATTATGAAAGTGGTTTTTATAAAAATACAGTCAAAAGTCTTTAATCTAGACGTCCATAATCCGGAATGACCTATAATCCGGACCTCAAAGCTACAAACTTTCTGTGCATGTGTCAACGCATATATGGCTTGACACATGTGCATTTAATGTATAACGGACGGGATAAGCTAAGCTAAAATTATCTAATTATCTATTTCAGTTAATGTTGCAGATTGCATTGTTCCTTAATCTTTGAATTGGATCTGGCTTATTATTTTTTGCAGATTGTTAGAGCAATTTTATAAAAGTATACTTGAACTTTCGATTATGTCAAAAACAATTTCCGATTCTGGAGCTGCCAAAGGATCTACAAAGCAAAAGCATATTTCGATGTCCATCAAACAAAACGTGGAATTGCTGCAAAAAATGGATAAAGGCATATCCTTTGTTTCTCTAACCATTCCAAAATCTGTTTATCAATTTCACGCTGCTCTGCAGCGGAGGGGAGGGGGACGTCGCGGCGCACAATGAACTGGAAGTTGATCTGTCAGCACTATCTTTATCTTCAGGGCAGATGTTTTTATTTTATTCGGCTTATAATTCCTTACAAAATGTAGCATTTCATCTCAATGTACTCCGTCTTTGATATGATTTAACTCAAATTCCTCGTCATTATAAATACCATAAATACACATCAAAGAGTTTTCTGGTTGCAATTTTCTAATTTCGACTATGCGTAATGTATGCTTTACGCATGCAAGCGTTGAAAGAAATGTTTAATAAAATAAACAAATAAATATTAAGCTTTTTCTTTTTCTTTTTTTTTTTTTTTTTTTTGTAAATTTTGAGACCCTTTAGATCATAATTGCTTTTTATTTCATAAATTATGATTTCATATTTTTAATTTTATAATTTCTGCATGCTATCTTACAAGATTTAAACTGATGATCTATAATCTAGAATTGCCGAAGTCCCGGCGAGTCAGGATTAAAGACTTTTGATTGTATATAACATTAATAGTAGGTTTAAAGTAAATAAAACTCAATCAGACATAAATAAAAGTAAAGATATATATATGTGGGTAAAAAAAAGATGTGTTTCTGATAACAGCATTATCACATTTATTCCTGTTAAATCTCAGAGACATTGAAAATTGCTCCTGTCATGATAAATTAGGAGGTGGTTTTTAAGTAACATAATCAGTATTTTACTTGAATTCAAGTACAAATTTATTTGCGTTTTATCGTAAAAAATATAACCATTAACTTCTATATCTCCAAGATATCCAAATGAAACACTATAAAGTTGTTAATAAATGTGATCAAAAGTATTTCATACAAAAATATATCTAAATCTAATAACCAAAAAAAACTTCCCATATTCATATCTAAAATGAAATAATAACCTAACAAACAACATACATGACAGCACTATTTAAGAAAAATCATGAACTAGCAGTGTTTGAAAGTATAAATAAGCAGAAAGAAGGTAACAGAACTCAAATTTCCAATTAATAAAAATTATTTGTGTTTTTTAAATAGTAATCAATTAAAAGTGCAATAATTATGGATTGCAGTATTTACTAATAATGCTGATGTTTTTGACACCATTTCTTTCAATCAAATGTTAATGTATTTACTTTGTTTTAGTTTCTACATATTAGAATAGTGGTAGATTACAATGATTATTTCATGCACTTTATATAATCAATAACTTTTTCTTTTGTTACTGTACAGAAATAATTTAAATAAAATAATATATGATAGTAAATATGCTAAAGTAAGCTCTTCATTAAATATCACACGATGAAACTTTTTGTTTCTATTTATTATGAATTTCATTGTTATTACAAGCACACAAAAAGTAAGCGAAGAAAATAGAATATACTTAACTTTAAAAAATAAAACCTACTTTCCAACATTCATTTTTATTTATCGAGATAATCTAATAAACATGCATAACGGCAATATTTAGAAAAACGCGAATTACACAATGTTTGGAAGATTAGATACCAAACGAAAAGTAATAAAAC